CAAAATAGGGAGTCGGCAAGTTGTCAAAATCGATCTCCTCGATCGGCCGCCTCATACGCTTTTGATTCTCCTTCAGGTAGGTGCGGCCGGCCTCGCCCACGATGTCGTCCACCTGGAGGCAGCCGACAACCGAAGGGGGCAAGGACACGCGCTCGCGGACGAAGGAGGCCAGGTTCCTCGGGGAGCCCGACGTGTCGTAGATCGAGCACCCCTTGAGCAACGCACTGAGCGATGCCTCTTGGGACGGACAGGGGTTGGGAGCTGCGGCTTGGCGCCGATGAGCTTCGCTGGCCACCCACTGTACGATCCCAGCATGCTTGCCCCCCATGGCGTCCAGGGAGCGCGGCGGGCCCACGTCGGCAGGCTCCCATCCAGCAAGCCAGTTGAGAGAGTCGATAGCGCCGTTCGCCAATTCGTGCTCGCGCCGCCGCCGAGCGCCAGCAATCCGGGCGCGGCTGCCGCCCCTGCTGGCGGGCGGCCTGGCCAGGCGAGGGAGGGGGAAGAGGTCCCTATCCCCGCTCGCCAGGGCCAGCGGCGCTCGCCGGGCCGATGTGTTAGCCCAGCCGGCAGGGGCCCACTCCGCCGGCTGAGACTGGTCCGTCATGCCTGCACGGGCGGCGCGAGGGCCCGCGCCCGGGTCTTGTTACCCCGGCCGCCCCCGCCGCCGCCCTTGCCACCTTTGGCCGCATCATCGGCCCCCTCGCGCGGTGGAACCCGCGCGCCAGCCGCACCAGCAGCGACCGCCTCGGCCTTCTTGTCGCCCTGCATCAGCTCGTACTCCTCCTTGGCGCGCCTCGACACGTGAGACCGCAAGCCAGGAGCCATCAACTGGTCCACCTCGGTCAGCGGCGAGAGGTACTTCGCGTTCGAGTACGAGGCCGACCCGCTCGTCTTGTGCGCGTCCACCAGCAGGTTCAGCCGGAGGGCGGCCACTTCCAAGCAAGCCAGTCCTCCGAGGTTGATCTGGTCAAACTCGCCAGCTTCTTCCAAGATGTCGCACAACACTCGGAGTTCGTGCGCGACTCGATCCGTAGAAGCTATCCCCTTCTCCCTGAGAAAGCGCTCTAGCCACGCGCGTGGAGACCCACTCAAGTTCACCATCATCTTGCACGTGTGAAGGCAAGTGCGATCGGCGGGCAGCCGATGATGGTCCCACTTCACATTCGAGCTCTCGGCCACCGCTCGCTTGAACTCCTTCCTGCGCTCGCCCTGCTCGTCCCAGTCGACCCACAGCGTGCGCGCGTCGCCGTAGGCGTCGTCCTTCCCCGCGGCCGACTCGGCGGGCTCCTCGGCGGCCAGCCCCAGCTTCTCGCCCAGGCGGTCGCCTCCGGCCGAGCGAGCCTCACGCCCCAGCGGCGGGGTTTCAGTCCCGCCAACCGGCTCCGCGGCGCCCATGGCGTCGGGCCCCGCGCCGAGGTCGAGCACCAGCTCCTTCGTCCTCTTGGCGGCCCACTCGACGATCTTGCCCTCGTCCACCTGCTCGAGCCTCGCCCAGCGGCCGCAGCTCGGCAGCAAGCCGAGGGCCCGGCTCCCGTCGCGCAGCGCCCCCACCGGGAGCGGATCCACCACGGTCCCGATTGGCATGCCAGGGAGCGGTTCCGTCAGCACCCAAGGGCGCGGGGCCTCGAGCCACGGGAAGTGGTCGCGGCCGGGGCGCACCGCCCCGTCGGCCAGCACCACGCTCGTCGGCGCCTCCGACTCGGCCTGCCCACGCCTGAGCATCGTGGCTCGGCACTCCGCCGCCAGCTCCACGACCTCGTCCAGGCTGGGCCGCGCCCGGAACCGATAGAGGCGGCGGCCGTCGGGCGGATCCCCAGTCGCCTGGTCCAGCAGCGACCCGCCCGACGGCCCGGTCGCCGCATTCCTCCCGCTCAGGTCCTCCTCCCAGACGTCGCCGTCCGCGGAGAGCACCCAATAGGCGTGCCGCCCCCGGACCCGCCGCCTCTGGTCCAGGCGGCGGCTGGGCCACAGCACGACCCTCGTGTGGTCCATGGTCTCCCCGGTGTAGGAGACCCGGACCAGGGTGCCGACCGCCAAGTCAGCGCACCACTCCCCCTCCGCGGCGAGCGGGGGCAGGGGACGGTGCGCGATCATCATCTCCTTCGGCGGCAGCAGCGCGCCCGCGGCGCGGGGCGACGCGGCCGAGCCCCAGCCCAGCCGCGATCCCTGCGAGTCCTCCCCAGTACGCCGAGAATGGGTCGAACTCGCCGGCGCCCACGACCCCCCCTGCAGGCGGGCAGGAGAGGTTGACCAGCGGCGCCGGGCACGCTGGAGGAGGGCAGGGCGGCGGTGAGCACGTCAGCGCCGGGCAGACCTGCGGCGGGCAGGTCAGGTTCGCCGGCGGGCACGCCAGCGACACCGCGGGGCACGGCGGCACCCCCGAGATGATCGACTGCCGCAGCGCCAGCAACTCCAGAGCGCGCACGCCCGCGGTCTGGAGATGACTGATGAGGGCCGGCGGGGGGCCCATCAGGCCTGCTACAGACCAGAAACAACTTGAGCGGAAAAGGGCAGCAGGGTGTTGGCGAGTGCACATCAGACAACGGGCAGAATATTCCCTTTTGCCCAACATCACACGTATGGCCCCTCTGCTCAACCCGTTCTAAAACCTCCATTTTCGTAGACTCCGGGGAAGCGAGCAGCCCTCGGGAAAGCTTGCTGAAGAAGCTGCGCCATATGCTCCGCTCGGCGCTCTCGAGGCAGGTCTCGATACTGCCGTTGTCCTCCAACCAGCGCCCTAGGCATCGCATGGCACTGCGCCGCTGCCGTGGCAGCGCAACGAAAATGGCTGCGCGGCAACCCGGGCAAAAAAAGAAATCCTTTCGAGCCCCCACCGCGCGGGGGCCGCCAATTCTGCGCGCGGAACAGCCCGCAATCTTCCAAGATAGCCGCCGCTGGGGAGTGGCTCGGGGCCGCCAGGTTGTCCACGCATGTCGCAAGAGCCATGCAGACTCCGTCGGCGAGGAAACCTCGCGTCTTCCAATCTGCCCCCCGCTGGAGGGCGGCGCCAAGTGGTGATGTTCCCCCAGCGGCAGACGCTGACTTGCCACCTGTAAGGGCCCCGATGCATCGTGGAATATCGGCGCTGACTCCGCCGACTCGCAGACGTACCCTTGGACGGAGCTGACGTCGCAGGAAAATTGATGCCAGCGGACTACCGAAGCCGTTCTTCACCATCCACTCCCTGATGAGATGGGTGCGCCGGTGGACGCAATACTTTTCGATGTCAGCCTGCGCCACCGCGGCTTCGGAACACATCTCGAGGCCCTCCCAGATGACAATGCCCACGGGAAATGCGATGTCCATGACCTGCCAGCCTCTCCCTCGCACACTCCAGGAAACACGGGCCCGCCCGGCTCGCTATCTCATCGATCGTGGCATTCACGCGCGCGGCGACGATGGAGTCGAGGATGACCAAGACAACCGGCAAAGGTAAAATTGGTCGGATACGGCCGGGACACACCGGGCCATGGTCCTTGGCCGCGACCCTACCGATGATGTTAATATCCGCGAGCGCGTCGGCGATGCTGGCAATCTTGGCGAGGAGGCGGGCCACGGCCTCGCCAGATCCCTGGCAAGCGATCTGCAGGCACATCGCACTGCAGCCGTAATGGCCCAAAGCGCGGGGGCGACGAACTTGCATGGCAGCGACCTCAACCTCAGACGGTTCGATGATTCGACGAGGATGCCCTGGGAGGCCGTGGCGGAGAAAACGCCCAGAAGAATCGTACGCAAAGGCAGGTCGTCGCCCTTCCACTTCTGCATGAACTCGCCCCTGATGAATGTCGCCCGGAAGTCTCGGTTTGTCGTTGGAGGCGCGGCTGGCGAACGCCTCATGCTAGTTACTTTGTGGAGTTCCAGAGACTTCCAAATTGGCCGTCCTTTCCGAAAATCTGTTGTCTGGCGAGCGCGCCTAGGGGTATCGAGCCAATGTTTCCGGCCCTCCCAGATCAGCCGACTGAGACGAGACCGCTCCTCTGCCGAGGTGGTTCCCCGCTTCTGCAGCCGCAGAGCCTTGATCACCGGAGGCTCCCGCAGCCGCCGTCGCTGCACGCATGTCTCATGCTCGCGCCCGTCCTCGCCGGCCTGCTGCGCGTCGGCCACGACATCCATGAGCTCACCCACGGATCCCTTATATTTGGGAGCATTTCTGCAAGCGTAGTTTGAAGCAGCGCTCCATTCGTAACAGCTCCAAACGGTTTTCCTTCTCGTGCGCCAGGACGAAGGGAGGCACCGGCAGCGCGCTATAGGCGCCGCGTGGTCCGTGGGCACGTCCGCCCAACAGATCCGAAGAATGTCGACTGCCCCGGTCGACGCGCAATGGTCAATCCAGGACGGAAGGCCGATATGTTTCCAACGGGAGTGCGAGTGACTGGGGCGAAAAGGGTTTCCTCGGCGAAACGCCCAGGAGGAACGCCTTCGCGAGAGCTGGGCTTATGGAGCCGAAGACCACATGAATCAAGAAACATGTCTATAAAAAATCGTTATTCTGCGTGCCAATCTTGTCTGTACGGCGAAGGCGCGAACGGGGCCCCAGAGTACGTCGGCAGCAAGTCAACGTTGAAATCGCCCATCACTACAAGCTGTGACCCCGAAGTACGAGAGTTAGCAAGGTGAGCGGCGTCAGAAAGACTATCGTGAATATCGTCCCCGTGCGCACCATGCAAAAATACGAAAAATATGTCGACTGAGGCACCGTCGGCGAGATGCACTCGGCAGGTCCAGCCCTGGGTGACCACCGATCGCAGACCATGCACTCTAGAATTACGAACTATAACTGCGAAAGCCAAGGAGCCCGCTCCAGCGTAGAACCTCTCGGAAAAACGACCTTGAAAGTGAAGCTGGTGATCGGCGCGGAGATGCCCATCACACTCACCAAGAAAAACGACTGCCCAATCAGACGCAAGCCCGCCAACAGTGTCCAAAATTGACTCGCACGCCATCTCATCCCCCAACTTCTTCGCCACGTTCACGCTCACCGCGTTCATGGCGAGGGATAATCAAGGCTGCTCCGCGTAAGCCTTTGCTATATCTAGGTCCTCGACGGTGTACCGGTCCCTGGCGGCCTGGCACCACTGCCATTCCAAGCCTTTGCAGAAGCCCGCAGTCGAGTCGCCGACCCTGACAGACTTCGTGGAGAGGTCCTTGGTGACCGCCTTCTTGTCCCCAGCGCGCCTCCCCTCGATCTGCTCCAACTCTTCGTGGATCCTGTGCGTCATGCGGTTCGGCTTCTGCTCGTTTTTCGTCCTCCGGGCGTTTTTGGTAAACTGCTTGCGATTACCTTCACAGGAAGCCTGGCCCGTGCGAGGACCTGCGGGGACGAGTAAGCAACTTCACATGCAAAACCAGAATCACGACGAGTACATCAGACGCCCGAAAAGCCTTTCTCTTCGATGCCACACTCGAGGAGGAGGTTTCTGCAGCGTGCCTCTACCTCCGCAGCTGGAGTGTCCCAGCCAAGGTTCGCGACGTAGGCGATGAGCCGGCACTCATATGTGAGCTCGCCGTCATTCTGGCCCTCGTTGAGGCTAGTCTTGGCCTCAACCTTCTTCCTGATCTCGGCCAGCTCTGCCGCCAGTCCAGGATCACCAGGCGCAGGATCGGCCGCTTCAAGCTTCGCCAGTCTTTCCTCCAAGGAGGCGACCTTCTCACAGGAACCTGTGGCGTCGCCCTCCACGGCCACGAGTCGCTCGTGACTCGTGCATGTCGCTTTGCACTCCATCGAGCCTATTCTCCAGATAGTCGGAGCCCTCATCCGAGACCTTGGCCAATCCTGGCATCTTCTCCTCGATCGCCTGCATCCTGGTGTCCTGCTCCCCCAGCTTGTCGGTGATCATCTCGCCGAGCTCCTTCTTCAGGTAGCTTGCGAGCTGACCAACCTGGGGTCCCGCCTCCTCTAGGAACTTGTCCTGTTTCTTCCCCGCCTCCTCCTTCGCGCGCCGCTTCCTGGGAGGGGACAGCCCGTCCACCGGACCACAGGCTTCGCGAACGTCTCGGTCACCTGCTGCATCATGGCCAGAGCCCTCCCTGCCTTTCATTCCAGGTGCAGAAGCCATCGCCATCTGAGTGACAAGAACGCTTAGTGATGCGCGAGGGTGGCCTGATTCTGGGGGCACCGAAGACCCCTCCCGGGATCCATATGGTGCAGTTGTTCGCCCAGGATGCGCGTTTGACGGTCCCGGGGCCCGAACACGGCGCCCCGAGGTTGGAACAAATGTCCGCGAACCCACGACCTTCTCGAACCCGGACCCTTCTGCTCGCCAGAATCAATGCTGAGACACCTCAGACCCCCAGCTGACTCCAACTGCGCGGGGTCACCACGCCGTTCCTAGAAGCCTCCTTGGAGGGGTCCGAGTAGATGGGGTCGGCGATGCATCGGCGCCATCAGCGTCGTCGTCGTCGAGCCGCATCGTCGATGCACCGGCGATGCAGAGCGACCCCTCGACCCCACCCGCTCGGACCCCATCTGGGAGGCCTAGAGTTTGGGGGCCCCGGGTGGTCCGCGCCGTCGTCCTTTTCGTCCTCGGCGTCGTTGTCCTCGTCGTCCTCCTCGTCGTCGTCCTCCTCGTCGTCTTCCTCCTCCTCCTCCTCCTCCTCCTCCTCCTCCTCCTCCTCCTCCTCCTCCTCGTCGTAGTCGTCCTCGTCGTCGTCGTCGTCGTCGTGGTCGGCTCCCCGTCCCACAGCGCCACCGGGCGGTCGGCGTCGGAGTGCGGGCGCCAGGCGCCCCCCACGGGTCCCAGGCCTCCGAGGGCGCCGAGCGGGAGCGGAGGCGGTCGGCGTCTCCGCTCCTCGGCCCGGGGCCTCCTCTCGGGCGACCTTGTCCCCGCGGAACACGGGCTCGGGCCAGCTCTGCGCATGTCCCGCACCAGCTGACGCTGTGAACCACATCGCATTGCCAGTGAAAGCGTGAGACACACAGCCAGGACGAGGAGGAAGGGGGGCGACCCCTCGTACCTCGCTGGCCCCTTCAACTACATCGATGATCGGCCCATTTTCGGGATGGCCCCCGCCTGTAGTGCCAGACGGCACCTGCAGGAGAGGGCCAATGGCAGCACCCGTGAGGACCTCATGCCGTCAGGGCAGGAGGGGGAGGGGGGGCAAGGGACCCCTCAGGGGAAGACTCGTGAGCCAGCGGCCGCAAGAGGCAGACGGCGGTCGAGCAGCGGCGGGGCGCGCCGAAGAGCACAGCGAGGCGCGCGGCAGGGAGAGGGCGCGCCGAAGCGCGAGGCGGCGGGAGAGGCCGGGAGGGCGGGGGAGCCCACACCCCTCGAGGAACATGCAACGACATGAGCACAAGACCAGCTAGAGGGGCCCAGGGACACGCAGAGGAGCACACACAACTCTCCCGGGACTCCCGAGATGGTCCCATGACTTCTGGGTTTTCGTCTTCCCCCCCACCCCACTTCCCATATTTTCCCATATGTTCCTGGGGAGTCGGCGATTAATCGTGTCTGAATGTTTCTTTCCCCTCCCGACACAAGAACCGTGGAGGTCCGCGCGGAGTCCTCGGATCGGCGATGGGGCCCCCCTGGCGGCGCCTGCGACGCCGCCCCTGGCGCGCTCCGCGTGCTGGTCCGAGGAATCCGCGTGGACCCCCGCTGCTGTTTTATGTTTACAGTCAACCCGCAGAGTAAGGGTGCGCGACAAGGATGCAAGGGCCCTGGACGCTCATTTCGAAGCGTTTCGAGCGGGGCGCGGCCAACGAGAGTGCCCAAGAATTATGTTCACAGTCAACCCGCAGAGTAAGGGTGCGCGATAAAGATGCAAGGGCCTTGGACGCCCATTTCGAAGCGTTTCGAGCGGGGCGCGGCCAACGAGAGTGCCCAAGAATGGACCCAGGAAGCAAGGATGCAAGGGTACCCTTGGGAGGGATGCATATCCTTACTCTGCGGGTCGACTGTACGTCGCTGCTTGTTCCCCGATGCCCTCGGGCCGAACGAAGAGGACCTCGACCTCGAGCGTATTGAAAGATTCGACGGCGGCACTGCTTTGCCGCTTTCGGCCTGTGGGTGGCCTCGACGGAACCAGGGACCCACAAGAAAACGACTCGGGCTGAAACACCAGCCGTGGGGAAAGGGTCAGGATTTGCCGGAACGACGTTTTGGCAAGAAGAAAAAACAAAGAACATCGGATCTCTGGGGAGGGCTCGCACAGCAGACACAAACGATGAGAAGTCTAGCTGAAAGAACCCTTGGGGGACGCTCTCTGCCGATCTTTGAAGGCCCTGCGGTGCCCCAGAGCTTCTGCGGGTCCCTGGGGCCATCGGGTGGTCAGAAAGTTTTGTGGGGCACGTGCGCACAGATGGGAGCAGGGGGGAAGTCCTCTTAGAAGGAGGCCGCTTCGTAAAGGCGCGGAACTTGTCTACAGATGTAGGACCGGCGCCTTTTGAGAAGCAACCTCCTTCTAAGAAGCATTCCCCCCTCTCCCTATCCCCCTCTGCGCGCCGCCGAAGATGGGGGGGGGATCAGCCTCAGGTTGCTACTCTTCCCGACGCCAGGGGCGGCAATGCACCGAGGAGAGCGCTCGGTGGCGGGGCCGAAGCGGCACACAGCACATATCCTGACCCGCCATGCCCGAATTCACCCCCTGAGGGGGAAGGATGATGAAGGGGCCCAGGGGCACGCAAATGAGTGTTTTCCGCATGTTCCTGGGAATCGACGATCATGTGTCTGTGCTATTTCCCTCCTGACATGAGAGGGGGACTGGCTCAGGGGGGAACACACATCAAGCTGGAATCGGCGATATACTGCCGATAGATCGGCGACGGGCCCCCGATAGCAAATCCGCACGCTCGTGGGCGGGGCGGGCTATCAGGGCGATCCATGGGCGATTGGGGGCCGATGCGTCACCCCCTGCGCCTGCACGCACGAGACGAAATCTTGGTGGGCTTGTTTTCCACCACCACCACCACCACCATAAGGATGAGGGGGAGGGGGTCCCCCTCCCCCTCTTCTTCCTCCTCCTCCTGAGCCTCCACCTCCTTCCCCCCTCCAACTTATGGTGGTGGTGGTGGTGGTGGTGGTGGTGGTGGTGGTGGTGGTGGTGGTGGTGGTGGTGGTGGAAAACAGGCCCATCAAATCTTGCTATAAGACATCACGTGGCACGCTTGTCGTCAAGCTCTGGGCTTCCTGAGGTGCCCCCAGGCCTTCCGTGGGCCCCCAGGGCCCTCGGGGCACAAGAGACGCTGCCCACACGGTATCCCCCACGCTGCCCCTGAGCGGACGAGGTCGCCATGGCCGACCCCTCCGTCCCTGCCCTCCCTCGGCTGGCAAGACGGCCGCTCTCGGGACCCCAGGGCCCGGCCCGTGGCGAAGGGCCAGACCCTGGGACCCGAAGCCGCGGGACAGCAGGACGGGCCCCCCCCCCCAGACATGCTCAGCTCGCGTCGTCGAACACAATCCGGACGGGAGGTTTCTCCTCGTTTTCGGCCCCTGGGGGCCCTCGCTGGGCCTTGGGACCCTCAAAGGGCGAGACGGGATGAGAAGCACGTCCTGGGCAAGGGGTCGGGACTGGCAGGGACCGCATGTTCAGAAAGACGAGGCATCTCACATCTGAGCCCTGACACCATCTCATCTTGCGGAGAAATCGCGACGGAAGGATCTTGACAATTCTCCGACTGCGGGGGCCCCCACCGGGCCCCCGGGACCGTGAAGAGACGTCGCAGGATGAAACGCCAGTCCAGGGGAAGGGGTCCAGATCTCTGGGGAGCCACGTGTGGAAAATCACGACGCCGGATGACTGGAATGATTTCCAACACGTTCGGGCCGAGGTGCCCTTGCTGGGCCCGGTCGGACCGTCAAAAAGCGACGAAATGCCGACCCTTGGGGGAAAGGTCGAGACTTCTGGGGTCCCCGCCTCTAAAAAGATACCAAGACGTCGGCTGTCTGGGTGAGGGGGTGCGAAGGGGAGAATGGCGAGGCTTTAAAATTCCAGGACATCGAATGTCTGGGAAGGATTGGGGGTACCAGCCTGAAATACATCCCTATCAGGCCCTATCCCCATGATTGGCATCACCTTCTCTCGATGCCCATCCCAAGGGTTTCCCCATTTCTGGCGGACGCACCCATAAGATCGTCATCGCCTTTTTGGATTATCCGTCCAAGAGATGTGAATAAGCTCGAGGCTAGTTACGGTCGGGAACTTTTGCTTGGCGTGTCACGGCGGCGGTCCCGGCGACACGCTATGCCCTGCGAGCGGCTGGCGTGTCGCTCCGCTCCGCGGGGCGGGAGGCGAGGAATAGCGCGGGACGCTGACGTCCGAGGGCCGGGCCGTGGACAGCGTACCGCGCCGAAGCGCGGTGGGCCACAGCCGGCGGACCGACACGCTGAGCTGGAATTCCAGAGGAAGAGGAGGAGGAGGAGGAGGAGGAGGAGGAGGAGGAGGAGGAGGAGGAGGAGGAGGAGGAGGAGGAGGAGGAGAGAGGAGGAGGAGGACGGAGGAGAGAGGAGGAGAGGAGACGAGGAGGAGGAGGAGGAGGAGGAGGAGGAGGAGGAGAGGAGGAGGAGGGAGAGGAGGAGGAGCAGCAGGGAAAGGAGGAGGAGGAGGAGGAGGAGGAGGAGGAGGAGGAGGAGGAGGAGGGAGGAGGAGGAGGTGGGGGGGGCTCCAAATTCTTGGATGCGTGGACCCCTGGAGGTCTGGACCTCTTCCCTGGGGCTGGCTTCTCCTGCCGCGTCATTTGTTGACGGCCCCAGGGCCTGTACAGGCCCCGGGAGCCCGAAACTGCCCCAACACCGGCCGCTCAAAAAAATTGTCGGAGCCTCCGTCGCGCGAGAGGGCCACGCTGCTCGGAGGCCTGGGCCTGGCGGCGGTGCTGGGGTCGCCGGTGCGCGCGAAGGCGGCCCAGCTGTCCAGCCAGGCGTTGCGCACGGCGCGCTGGGTCTCGGGCGCCTCCCGGCTGCCCTCGTAAGACGAGGCCAGGACAGGGACAAAATCGGGCCAGCACAAATCGGAGATCTCCGAGACCTCTTCCTCCTCCTCCTCCTCCTCCTCCTCCTCCTCCTCCTCCTCCTCCTCCTCCTCTTCCTCCTCATCGTCAACATCATCGTCATCGTCATCATTATCATCATCATCATCATCATCATCATCATCATCATCATCATCATCATCATCATCATCATCATCATCATCATCATCATCATCATCATCATCATCCTCATCATCATCATCATCATCATCATCATCATCATCATCATCAGCCTCATCATCATCATCATCATCATCATCATCATCATCATCATCATCATCCTCATCATCATCATCATCATCATCATCATCATCAGCATCCTCATTATCATCATCATCATCATCATCATCATCATCATCATCACAATCAGCATCGTCATCATTAGGATCATCAACAGCAGCAGCATCCGCAGCACCGTCATCGTCATCGTCATCGTCATCGTCATCATCATCATCATTATCATCATCATCATCATAATCATCATATCATCATCAGCATCATCAGCATCGTCATCATCATCAACAGTATCATCATCAGCATCGTCATCGTCGTCATCATAGTCATCTTCACCATCATCAGCAGCATCATCATCATCAAGCGCATCATCACAATGATCATAGTCGTCACCATCGTTATCCTCATCATCATCCTCATCATCAGCATCACCATCCTTATTAGCATCCTCATTACCATCATCAGTTTCACCACCATCAGCATCATCATCAACAACATCAGCATCATTAGCATCATCATCAGCAACAACATCAAGCATCATCATCCGCATCCTCATTATCATCATCGGCATCATCATCATCATCCTCATCATCATCATCATCATCATCACCATCACCATCCTCCTCCTCCTCATCATCACCAGGAGCATCATCATCACCATCTTCACCGTCACCATCATCATCAGCATCATCAACATCAGAATCATCACCAGGAGCATCATCATCACCACCACCATCAGCAACATCATCAGCATGACCACTAGCATCATCTTCATCATCACCATCGTCATCACCATCGTCATCATCAGCAAAATCATCAGCATCATCGTCATCATCAGCAGCATCATCGTCGTTATCGTCATAAACATCATCATCAACATCACCATCATCATCATCATCATCATCATCATCATCGTCATCAGCATCATCATCATCGGCAGCGCCATCGTCATCGTCATCGTCATCGGCATCATCATCACCATCACCATCAACATCACCATCACCATCATTACCAGCATCAGCATCATCAGCATCATCATCCTCAGCATCATCATAAATTACACCCGCATGATCATCACCACCATCGCAATCAGCATCCTCATCATCGTCACCATCATCAGCATCATCACCATCATCAGCATATCAGCAGCATCCTCATCATCAGCAGCCTCATCATCATCATCATCATCCTCAGCAGCAGCATCATCGGCATCATCACCAGCAACATCATCATGATGATCGACATCATCATCACCGAGAACAAGGTCGGCTGCACTGGCCGTACGATCTTCGCAATCGTAGACATCCGTGATCCGGCGGTTCTGGAGGATGCATCGGGCGCCGCGGCTGGTCCAAACGCTCCGAGAGTACTCTGGCACGCTCTGGATCGATTTAGTCCTAGTCCTAGCCCCGCCCGACCTCGCCTCCCACAAGGAGGTGGCGCGACGGGGGATGCCTTCTGAGAAGGCGGCGGGGCTTCTGAGAAGGCAAGGGCCTTCTTCGAATGTCCAGGTGGATTCTGAAAAGGCTTCCGAGAAGCCGGCGGGCCCTTCTGAGAAGGCCCATGACTTCCAAGGGTTTCTGAAAGGCTTCTGAGAAGCCACCAGGCCCTTCTGAAAAATGTTCCTGGCTTCCATGGAGCTGCGCCGTCTTCTCAGAAGTCCACCCCCCTCACTCCCCCAGCTTTCGGGAAGACGTAAGACTCCGGTTCGAGGGACTCGGGGTTGGCCTGACAGGGCCGTCAGGAACATGACGAGACCCAGTTCGAAATTTCACGCGAGCTCCCGCTGCAGACCTCCCACGGAAACAGGGCCGTCAAAAAATCCAGGACGGGCCCGTCAAAAAGCGTCGGCAAGCGCAAGTTGCGGCGAACGCGAATCTTACGGTTCCCCGACCCCGATGAGCGCCGCCAACTGGGGGAACCGAAAGGTGCGGATACCGCCACCTCCCCAGACATCTCCTGGGGCGCGTGCAGGCCAGAATTTCGGGGCGAATCCAGCTGTGGCGACGAGCGCTTCCCAGGGGGCTCAGCAAGGGGAAAACGAGGCAAGGGTAGCGGTATGGGTACCCTTTCCTCCCGGACCCATGGACGCCGCCAACCTCGCCCAGCATCAGGCCCAGCTCGGCCGCGTGGAAAGCGTCGCCGCGGCCGCCGAAGCCGTCGAACTGGTAGCGGTAGACCGCGGCGGAGCCCTTCGGCGTGGCCAGGCGCTCGGAGGCGAGGTGCACGGCGGCCAGGAAGCTGAAGTCCGAGGAGACGGTGTCCTCAAAAAGGGAAATCTGACCAAAGATAAGGCTGATGATTATGCTGATGAGGAGGAGGAGGAGGACGACGACGACGACGAGGAGGAGGCTCCTCTCTCCTCCCTCCACCCACCCACCCCTGGAGCGCTGGGGGACTTAACTAACTTGCGCCCTGGGGGCCTCTCCCTGCCTTTCTCTGCCGTGGTCTTCTCACATTTGTTTCTACGGGCCCTCATTCGCTTGATCACCCCCCCTCCAGGGGCACGGCCCTGGGTGGGGAGAGGGTGGCAGCGTCTTACCCAGGACTCTGAGGAGCAGGTGGACAAGGTGAGCGGTCCCTGATTAGCTGCTTGATCCCCCTCCCCGAGGGGCACAGCCCAAGGGGGGGGGGGGAAGGTGGCAGCGTCCGACCCAGGACTCTGAGGAGCAGGTGGAGGAGGTGAGCGGGCAGCAGCGGAGAAAACACCGTTGTACACTGCCTAGCCATCGCCGCACCCTAATGCTCCGGCCCCTGCGGGCTTCTCCGCTTTTCTGTTTTCTCTGTGCACTTGCAGCCCCGCTAAGTCCGCACTAAGGTGATAAGAGCACGTGTTTGACGTTGATCGCACGCTCTCTGAGGTTTCTGTTTGCAGAGGGCGTTCAGACGCGTCGCCTTCGCCAGACAATGTCAGGGCAACGTAAAAAAAGCAGGAGCATCAGGAGGATCAGGAAACAGGCTGGTGATGATGACGATGATGGTGATGATGATGATGATGATTATGATGATGATGAGGGTGATGATGATGATGATGATGATGATGATGATGATGATGAGGATGATGAGGGTGATGATGATGAGGATGATGATGAGGAAGAGGAGGAGGAAGAGGAGGAGGAGGACCAGTGTAACACCAGGACTCATCAACGATGTTGGGGTACGCCCTCCCTCCAAGCTCCATCTTCATAGGCCCCATACAAGGTTTCACTTCCACTGAAGGAAGTGTCCCGTGGGGAAACAACCGTGTGAAAATCCTGAAGCACGCCAAAACACTATTCTCAGGACTTCAACGCCACGGATCAACCTGACTGTTGCATCTTGACGGTCCTGATTCACGCCAGAACACCATTCCTGCGACATCAACACCGCGAATCAACATAACTGTTTCGCCCTGACAATCCTGAATAGCTCGAGAACACTGTTTCTGGAAGGTTAACCCTGAGAACCCGCGAACATCTTGTAATTTTCCAAAGCGAATGTGCGCGGCGCCCAAGCGAAAACCACATGTTGAAAACTACCCGCCCTCAATCCGCGAAACACGCGGAATTATGTGGCCGGACGTGCGCAGCGCTTAGGCGAGAACCACATGTTGAAAACCACCCGCCCTTCATCCGTGAAACGATTGCAAATATCTAAGACGAGTGTGCCAAGTGCGCGCAGCGCTAAGGCGAAAGCCACATTTTGAAAGCCTCCTGCCCTCAATATGTCGAACTCTTGCAAATGTTTAAGACGAATTTGCGCGGCGCTACGGCGAGAGCCACGTTTTGAAAATCACCCGCCCTCAATCAGTGAATCTCTTGCACATGTTTAAATCGAACGCGCGCGGCGCTTAGGCGAGAGCCACATGTTGAAAACCAAAACCCTCTATTCGAAAAACTCTCCCAACTGTTTAAAACGAATTTGCGCAGCGGTGGGGCGAGAGCCACATTTTGGAAGCGAGCCGCCCTCCATCTGTGAAGCGGTTGCCAGTTTCTCAGCTTCAGGCTCATTCATGGTGAGGAAGTCTCAGGCGAAACGCCCGGCCAGCCCTTACGACTGGCCTCGGGGTGCGACAGGGAGGAGTTATTCATAAGGAAAACGAATACAGTCGGGCCGCTGAAAGAAGGAACGCTAAAAAGAACGAAGCCCCTTCTTGGCCCTGTAAGCGCCTCCGTGCCCCAGGAGGGCAAGAGGAACAGCACTGGAGGAACCTACGGAACATCGAGCCCCTTCCGAACCCAAACTGTTTCTTATTGCAGCGTCTGGACTGTAGAGGAGGAGGCTCGCGGAGGACCGAAAAAGCAACAGAGAAGCGCAAAAGTACAAACTGTGGGGGGCCCACGAGGACTTCTCGGATCGGTGCTGACCCCCGCCCCAGCCTGGCGCGCGGGGGCGCGCCAGGGGCGGCGCTGGAAGTGCCGCCAGGGGGGTCCAGCGCTGATCCGAGCAAGAATGCGCGGACCTCCGCAAATCTCCGCAAGTCTGCGTTTGTGCAGAGTGTTGCCCTCCGCGTCCTGGAACCACTGCTCCCGCGTCGCGGCGTTGCCGGAGGGGCCCAGGCCGAAGACATCCGCCGCCCGCTCGGACTCGTAGTCCTCGGGCGACGAGATCTGTACATACCACATGCCAACCAGCCCTGGCCAGGGCCCTCCTGGGGCCCAGAGGAGCGGCGCAGACGCCGCCATGACTTGGCCAGGAAGGCAGATGCGACGCTCCTAGGCCGAGGACGGGCTTGGCCAGGGGTGGTGGCTATAAGGAGCCTACTCCTGGGAGATTTCGTCCGAACGATTACGAGCTGCAAAACCCGATGAAGGGGCCACTGCGCCTGATCAGGCCGGATTAAACTCGTAGCGGGATGTAACATAATTTTGCGGATTTAGCCCGGATCACACGGGACCCTGCCAGATTAACCCACTTTTCGACCAGGGATATACCAGCACCGATTCTGACTCAACCTCCCAGGAGATGAATCCGATGTCCGACGTCGTGATGCGTTCCACAGGTCTGGACCACTTCCCCAGGACCGGTGTTTCCAAACCATCCTGTGGTGTTGGGGCCTCGTTTTGAAGAGACAACGCCCCGTCCTTCCTTCCTCCCCCCTCCTCCCATCATAATCGTCATCGCCACCATCAACATCATCATCATCATCATCATCATCATCATCAGCAGCAGCAGCAGCAGCAGCAGCAGCATCGACATCCTCATCATCATCATCATCAGCAGCAGCAGCAGCCACATCGTCTACATCATCGTCATCAGCGTACCCGCCGTTATCATCATCATCATCATCATCATCATCAGCAGCATCATCAGCATCATCATCAGCATCATCACCACCATCAGCATCATTATCATCATCATCAAACTCATCATCATCACATCATCATCATCATCATCAGCATCATCATCATCATCATCATCATCATCACCATCACCATCACCATCAGCATCATCATCGGCAGCATCACCAGCAACAATCACCATTATAATAATCATCAGCATCAGCATCCGCATCCGCATCATCATCATAATCATAATCATAATCAGAATCATCAGCATCGTCATCATCATTATCATGATCATATTCATCATCATCAGCATCAGCAGCATCATCACTCACCATCATCATAATGAGAATCCTCAGCATCAGCATCATCACCAGTATCAGCATAACCATTAACATCGTCATACTCGTCATCTTCATCATCATCAGCAGCATCAGCATCAGCATCAACAGCATCAGCAGCATCAGCATCAGCATCATCAGCACCATCATAACCATAATCATCAGCATCGTCATCATCATTATCATCATCATAATCAGCATCATCGTCATCAGCAGCACCATCATCACTCACCATCATCATAATTAGAATCATCAGCATCAGCATCAGCATCAGCATCAGCATCAGCATCATCATCATCAGCATCATCATCATCATCAGCATCTGCATCATCAGCATCAGCATCAGCATCAGCAGCAGCATCATCAATATCAGCATCAGCATCAGCATCAGCATCAGCATCAGCATCAGCATCAGCTTCAGCATCAGCATCAGCTTCAGCATCAGCATCAGCATCAGCATCATCATCATCATCATCATCATCATCATCATCATCATCATCATCATCATCATCATCATCATCATCAACATTGCCGTCAGCTGCGGCACACCCTCACACGCTTCGTGGCCCAATGAGGAGCTCCAGCTAAGGCCCCAGTGGCATCGTTCGCATGTGGTCGTCACCTCCGTTTCGGCACACCCCTCACACGTGCCGTGGCCCCATAGGGGGCTCAACCCAAGGCCCGAGTGGCGCAGCCCGCATGTGGGCAATACCCCTTTTCGGTACACGCCTCACACGTTTCGCGGCCCCGCAGGGAGCTCCACCGAAGGTCCCAGTGCTGCAGTTCGGATGTGGGTGACATCCCCTTGTCGGCGCACCCCTTACACGTTTCGTGGCCCGTAGGGAGCTCCACCGAAGATCCCAGTGCTGCAGTTCGCATGTGGACATCACGCCTCTTTCTGCACACCCCTCACACGCTTCGTGGACCTGTAAGGAGCTCCAGAGAAGGTCCCAGTGCTGCAGTTCGCCTGTGGGCGTTACGCCCGTTTTGGCACACCCCTCACTGCGTGGCCCCATAGGGAGCTCCAGCTAAAGCCTCACTTGCGCAGCCCGCAAGTGGGCGTCACCTCCATTTCGGCACACTCTTCGCACGGTTCGTGCCCTCACAAGGAGCTCCCCGCAAGGTCCGACTGGCGCAGCCCGCATGTGAGCGTCACTCCCGTTTCGGCACACCTCTCCACACGTTTCGCGTCCCCGCAGGGGTGCAGCCCGCATGTGGGCGGAACTCCAGTTTCGGCACACCTCTCCACACGTCCCGCGGCCCCACAATGGGTTCCGCGCTCGAGATGGGTGTGGACAGGATGAGTACCAAGACCGACAGCAAGTTCTGCTCATTTTGAGCAGGACTCGCTGTCAGTCTCGCCGCGGGAGATTGCCCATTTGAGACAGAAGGCAGCCTGGCCAACAGCGGCCGTGTTGGTTTTGGATAACATTTGTTTTGGGGCATCGTGCCCATTTTTTCTGTACCCGCTTCGGCGCGCACATCGGCACGCCCCCTCGCACGTTTTGTGGCCCCAAAGGAAATTCCACAGAAGACAATCCTCACAACTGCGGTACCGAAAACTGCATATGGTTGGGTCTTCGCCAGGCTAACTCATCCTGACCTGTTTGTTTGACAGCCCCAGGGCCCAGCAAGGGCCCCTGGAGGCAGAAAAGGGCCAAAAACCTCTAGTCGCGATGTTGATCACACCGCACGGACGTCTTGGGGAAACCAAGAGGGACCGATACCGCTAATTACTCCCTGGACCTCTCCTGGGGTTCGTCCTGACCAGAACTTCGAGGCGAATCCAGCCGTGGCGACGAGGGCTTTCCAGGACGAGCAGCGGCATCGATATCTTCTCCTCCTCCGAGGTCGGGACCATCACAACACGAGGATGTCAAGGTCATCGCCCAGCAGTCCAGTCTGCCAGCAGCGACTCCACGCGGACGAAAAAAGTGCAACGTCGTAAAAACCTCGACCGGAGCCCTGGACCCCATTTTTCTGCTGAATGTTTCGAGTCGGATCGATTCGTGAGGGTCAGGGGACCCGAAAAAAATGCGAAAACACCCGCTGCGAACAAAAATGCGACACTTAGACCTCAGGGTATGGGGTCCGAGTAGACGGGATCGGAGAATCGCGGCACATCGCTGATACATTGGCAATGCATCGGTGATGCATCGGCAACGTCGGCGGAGCATCGGCGACGTCGGCGTGGAGACAATCGCGGGCTCCAGATCGAGCCGCATCGGCGATGAACCTGCAGTGCGGCAGGATCCTCCGACCCCATCTGCTCCGACTCCACCGAGGAGGCACCTGGACCTGGATCTCACCGCCCGGCGGTCCGCCAGCAGCGACTCCACGCGACCCCTCAGCAGGCCCGGCGGCGCCCGCGCCATCAGCGGAGCGCCCGCAATCTCCCACGCCAGTCGGGCCGCGACGGCGCCCAGGCCCGCCCCGTCCGGGACGCGGGTTCCGAAGCTCCCGGGCTTCTGGGGCCAGGCAGCGCCAAGGGAGGTCACCACTGACCCAGTCCCCTCGCGTCGCGAAATAATCACGACGGGGTGGTTTTCGCTATTTCCGGCCTCTGGGGGCCCTCGCCGGGCAACCTGTGCAGTAAGGATGCGCGGTAACGATGCAAGGGCCTTGGAAGGCCATGTTGACGTTTTTCGAATGCGGCTGGCCAGCGAAAACTATCATCGATGGGGGATGGGCCGAACGGGGCAAGGATGCAAGGGCAACCTGTTGCTCATCATTGTACTCCTTGTTTCAATCCTGGCAATTGTCCTCAGCGTCGGCCTCAGGGGCCCATTACAGGGCCACCACGGGACCATCAGAAATGGGTTCGAAGTGAAAAGCTATTTTCGGGGAATGGTTCCAGAGGAGTTCTAGGGCCGCGGACTGGACAAAATCATGTCGGAGGACAGACTCACCGACACCAGCTGCAGGATGGCGGCTTCGGGGCTGCTGCCTCCGCCCACGCCCCAGCGGGCCTGCGCGGCGTTGAGGCTGCCTCCTGCGATGGTGCAGTCGAGGCCATGCAGCCCGAAGCCAGGACAGCAGCTACAGTCCTTACCGAACGACGTGCTGAGTTTGCCAAGCAGGTTCACGATAGTCAGACAGCGGATCAACGGGAGTCGTGGCAGCGGTGGCAGGACTGGTGTGATACCGCCTCAGCCAATGGTGGTCGTGGCCTTCACCGTGCGACTCGTGTTCCTGATGCACCGCGTCCAACAGTGGTCGCAACGGAGAATGGCAAGTCTGCTCACCCACATGATGTAGTAGCAGCTGAAGTCTACAAGTATCATCGGTTGTGGCATGCCTCTGACTCTCCGCTGCCTGCCTGGGTACCCGACAGATCAGCGCTGCCCCGAGCGACGGCGGCACAGCAGAGAGAAGTATCAATGACTTTCCCACACACGACAGCGGCCAGTGTGGATCGTATTCATCCCCGACATTTCGCGCTCCTACCTGACCAAGCGCTCGAAGTGCTGGCCACGCTGTACCAGGCCCCAAGGCAACTTTGTGTCATAGTCATGCCGATGCTGGCGAAGCCTGACTCAGGCCATCGCCTAGTCATCCTATATGCTGGTGCCCATCGTCTGTGGCAGAGGTACCGACGTGACTCCCTAGGCCTGATGCATGACACGCTCAAGCGACGTCACTGGGGTGCGATAGCTGGCAGGAACGCATTGGATCTATCTTGGCTACAGGCTGCCCGTGGAGAGGCAGCCACGGCCGACGACCACTACAGCGTGCTGCTCCTGATGGACTACAACAAGTTCTACAAGAGTATACCGCTCGACACCCTTCGTGATAGAATGATTGCCTGTGGGCTTCCGATGCCTGTGATGAAGTTTTTGCACAATACCTGGAGGGGACCGCGCATCATACGTCTCGGCCTGCACCACAGCCCCACCGTGCTCCACGCCAAGTACGGCCTCCCTGCTGGCTGCGCTTACGCTGATGTAGCAGTGCGCTCTTTCACGGTGACAGAGTATGATCAGTTTTTGGTGCGGAACCCCGCGATCGATTTCATGAGCTACACCGATGATGCGGGAATGCATGTTTCGGGAGCTGACCGTGATGTGGTACTAGGTGTGGCTGTGCAGGCAGGTCAGGAGATCTTCAGAGTGTCCCATTCACTAGAGGCCACCCTTAATGATAAGGTGGCGATTGTGTCAAATGATGACCAACTCGGTCAAGATGTGGCAGGACAGGTAGAACTGGATCGACAGAAGGTGCGCCCTGCGGTTGCGTATCTTGGGACGGACTATGCTGCTGCCCGCCGACGTGCCCACCCCTTCACGAGCAGGAAGCGTCTGAATCGCACTCGTAAAGCACGCCAACGTTTAGCTAAGTCTGCTAAGCTCAGGTCAATGCGGAAGGCTGACGAGAGACTTGGGCGGATATTCACGACAGGAATCAAGCTGGGCTCCCAGTATGGAGTTGAAGTCAACGGAGTTGATGATCGTGAGCTGCTGTCGCTACGCCGCCAAGCCCTGTCCATTAAGTCGCCCACCACTAAAGGTGCTAGTTTTAGGGCCAAGTTGGCCCTCATTGGAGAACCCATGACCCGTGAAGCCATGGCCCCCGCCCTACAGTGGGCTAAGATGGTCTGGCAAGCCCATATGTTCCCTCAGGAGGCCCTATTAGGCACCCAAGAGCTCAAGTGGATCTGGGCTCGTGTGTTTCACTACGGCCTTGTGGCCCCAATCTCTTGGGCGCAGTCAAAAGGCCCTGTCGGCCGCGTCCTCCTCTGCCTGGCCCGTGCGGGCTGGCAAGCAGTTTCAGCCACCCTTTGGAAGGACCACAATGGGGTTGATATAGATCTCACCCACGCGTCGCCTAGCCTGCTCCTTGGGATGTTTAAGGTTTCGTTCCAGGCTGGCCATGAAAGGACGTTCGGGGAGCAGTTGGGGGTCGGAAGTCATAGGGCCAGCCTGGAACCAGTCAGTCGTGCGCTTCGAACCAAGAAGTGCACGCGGCATCATAAGTATTTAGTACGATCGTGCCTGTGCGATTGCCTCTGGACAGAGTCGCATGCCCATGAAAAAGGGTATGCAACGGATCGAGGAGGTCAGTGCCAGTGCGGCAAGCCAGACACAATGTTTCATAGGCTCTACGAATGTCAGTTGCCTAATATTATCTAGGCTCGCGCCTCTGCCGACGTCTCGCAGAGTTTCGTTCAGTCTGGCCTTGAGGCTGGGCCCGACAGTCGGCTCTTTGTGCGAGGTGCGGTCGTCATCGAAGATGAAGATGTACCACCGATGTCTTCCCAGCCTGTTGCCCAAGTGCTCACAGGTGAGGGAGTTTTGTTGCCTGACACTGACATAGAAGATATTGTCCAGTTTGCGGGGACCTCACAGAGTCTCCACATTGCAGTCGATGGCAGAAGCACGATGCCAACGCTCTCTGTGTCCCAGCGAGCGGCGTACAGCGTGATTCTTATTCAGCCTTCGCCACCTAAAACATGTGCGGTCCTCCGAGGCGTCATTCCTGCAGGCTTCCCGCAGACCCCAGCGATGGCGGAGAATTTTGCCCTAGCGGTGGCTTGTCAGATCGCAGATCGGCCAGTGTACATTCACGCTGACTGTAAGGCTGCCATCTCGCAGGCACTGTTACCCCGAGCTGCGCAGCTCCGACCTAACAAATTGTTTGCTGGCGTGTCTGCGTTTGCTAGGTCGTTGCCTGGATTTCAGCATATCCAGGCGATCCAGCATGTGAAGGCCCATCGCAGCCGCGAAGTCATCGATGCATTGCCGCCTCATGAGCGTGTGATTGCGCAAAGTAACTGGGAGGCCGACATCAATGCCAAGCAGGCGTTGTTGCTCCATGCCCACATTGGTCCCGAGGCTGCCTTGAGACTCGATAGTGAAGTTGATCTGGTCTCCAAGTTTGTCAGGCTGGCTGCCACCATTCTCCCCGAGTGTGGGAACCGCCGTCAGCGCCGTGACCGCCCGTTTGCGAGGCACAGCTCTGTTAGGGCGGGACCCTCTTGGCACGAGTGGCAGGATGGACCTTTAGGCTCCCAGTGTAAGCACTGTTTTTCACTGGCCCCGCAGGTCCCGAGTGCCGAGGTGACGGGGTGTCCTGGGGCCCCGTCGTTCGTTCGTAGTGTCGTCCGCCGTTCTCTGGGGCACCTGATAGTTGGTGTGGCTTCCCATGAGATCCACCCCAGGAGCCCCCCCAGGCCAAGGACCTGCAGGCCCAAGTTGCAGTTGCAGCTTCTGTGCTTGAAGTGCGGGTGTTGGTCTCAGCGGTGTGCCCGAAAGCTCGCGGACGAGTGTAAGCGCCCTTCTCGCAAAGGTGCCGAGGTTTTGTCCAAGTATGCCCAAGGTCTTGGGCCGAGCAACCGTGCACGCCAGTTTATAGATCGTGCTGCCCGTGCGCACCACCTTCCCCCTCCGTCGACGGGCCCGAAAGTGCGGACCCGCACGACGGTCCCGACTGTGTTTCAGGCGGAGGGTGATCGGGTCCCTGAGTACGAGCGCCGAATGTCGGCGCTCAAGGCCCGCATCGCCGCTCGAGAGGCGAAGTATGTTGAATCGTGATTTTGTTTCAGTTCGGTGGGGTGCCCTGTCGCGGCCCAGGGCGGAGTGTCGGGAGCTCCGCCCCTGGGTTACAAATGTCCCCTCTGAGGGGCACCCCGCCGAGTAAGACTTGCGAGTCTCTTCCCCCTGGGGCTGCTCTAATCTAATCTCCTCCTCCTCCTCCTCCTCCTCCTCCTCCTCCTCGACTGCCGATTTCCGGGAGGGGCGGCGGCCGCCCGCCCGGTGGTGGCCCCCCTGGGCGCTGCCCGCTGAGAGTAGGCGCACTCGTCCCGATTCCCTCCGACGACGACGGCTCGGATGGAGGGCCGGTCGTCGAGGCAGCGTGCGGCCCTCCGGCCTGCTTTACACTACCCCCCCAAAAGAAATGTCTGGAAATCCGCGGCCCCCCAGGGGAGGAGGAGGAGGAGGAGGAGGAGGAGGAGGAGGAGGAGGAGGAGGAGGAGGAGGAGGAGGAGGAGGAGGACCAGGAGCAGGAACAGGAGGAGGGGGAAAGGGAGGAGGAGGAGGAGGAGGAGGAGGAGGAGGAGGAGGAGGAGGAGGAGGAGGAGGAGGAGGAGGAGGAGGAGGAGGAGGGGGCGATCACCCAACCGCTCGACAAAGGCACGGCCACGCACGTGCACAGCACGCCCGAGAGAGACGGAACGCAAGCGCGCGGTCCTCCCCTGGCTTGCTTCGGCCTTCTCTCCAGGAGCCCCTCGGAGGCTTCCCGGGACATCCGGCGTCTCTAGAGTTAGGTCGGGCATGTTCTCCTACAGAGGGATTTTGGACGAAAAATTTAAAATAATCGGAAAATGCACCAGAATGGTCAAAACATGTGCAATATTTCGTCCCCATATTATTTTTGG